ACAAATTCCTGCCTATACCTCCAAACTCACTGCCTTTGCAACCCAGACTCTGGAGAGGCAGAACCGTGCTGACTGCTTGGGTTTCATGTCTCACTGACTGCGCTCCTCTATCCCATGTTTCTCATCTTGGTAATCCAGGCTCCAGCTTCAAAACTCAGTTTTGAGTATCCCTGAAGCTTTCTTCTGCAAAAAAATAAGCTGTAATTGTTCACTCCCTCTTTTATGCCATCACTTACCACACCATCTGTGATTATTTTCTTACATGTCTCTTTTTCCTATAAAGCTGGGGTATGCTTTGTATTCTGTGTGTAGCATCTGCACATAGAAGCACTCAGTATATGCTTGGGAGGGAAGAATTAATTTTCCTTTGCAATTATTTAATGGATTTAGACCATGGAGGACTACCATGTCTTCAGCAGATAGGTATGCCTGGACAACCGATTGTGTTTAGAACTCTGCACTACGGTACAAGGAGACTCAAGGGCAAAAAGTTGACACTGATGTTCCCTACAGACGTTTATGCTCAGGTAAAGAAAAGAAATGCATGCAGGAGAATTCACAACCAGACTATGAGCATGAACAAATGCAAGCAGACATAGTAGAGCTGTTCAGAGTACAAGTACTGACCATTATGGCATAGTCCCTCAATGCAGAATATTTTCAGAGGTGTTTGAGCATTAAATGAATAATGGAAAAGAAAGGCTTTCCAAACCTGAGCTGTGGCACATGCAAAATTAGCAGATGCAGGGGAAAAAAAAATCCTTTCTCTGCCAGAAGCATTATAAAATTAAAAATCAAATAGAAAAGAGCTGTTTGGTGCAAACAGGAAGTGACAGTGGTGAGATGGGGAAATGGTTCGCCGAGAGCCTTGAAGGCAAGCAAAGAAACACAGATCTGATACCACAAACAGGGAGCCTCCCTAGATTCTAGCATAGGGAAGGCTTATCAAAACAATGGTGTTTGCTTATGGCAAGTCTTAGAATTCTATGTGCTTTCTAAAAAATGGAAGTGGTTATAATATGCATGGTATAATCATAAATAGGCAATTTATAATAAGAGTTAGTTTCTAATCTATACCAATTAGAATGCTAAAATTAACGAAAGGCAGAAACCACAGTCTGTATTAGCTCCCTGTGGAATACATTTCCTTATTAATGTCCTGTTGTTAAACATAATTTGTACATATATCTGCCTCTAAGCCAACATAAAAATCTAATACTGATTGCTATAAGAGCACTGCAATATTCCAGACACATTATTCATCTGAAATTTCTATAGACATACATGAAAATCAGAACCACAGCCCTCTTTTCTTGCCTCAAAATAGGCATGTTGCTTGTGATAGGTCTAAAATCTACACCTAAATGGTTGAGAGGATAGTAAATGAGGAATAAAAAATAAAATATTATAGGTATGTATTCCAAAGCCATAGTTATTACAGGAGTTTCGTGTGTTTACCATACCTGTATTATACTGCCCATGAAGAATTTCTACTTTCTATGACATTGAATCCTACAAACAGATAACCACTGCAGACTAATATTTCTCTTTTCAATTACTGTTTCCAAAATATCTAATAATTTCAAGGATCATCTGCTTTTGATAAAACAACAGGGATCAGCAGCTGTAACATTCAAGTTTCCTGGAACTCTTCACCTTTACTAACCAAATAATCTCCTATTTACTAAGCTCTTAATCTACCCTTTATCTCTTCAGTGGCTGGTGATTGTCAAAATTGTTAATAACATTCCATTTAATTTCTGAGGATTTCCTCACCATATGTCTCTTTTAGGAGGACCACAGAGAATGGGTTCTTTCTGTAATAGGTTGCAAACCAGCACTCTGGACTGGGTCACTGACTTCACTTGAAATACAATAATAACAACAACAATGCTGAATTAAAGGGATGCTTTTTTTAAGTCAAAATACAAAACTGAGAGAGATTCCATTTTCTGGAGATTATAGGAAAGGAATTTTCTGACCTGATTTATCTAAACAATCACCCCAGATCTTCACCTCACATGGCCATACATATAAAGTTTCAGTACAGTGTCAGAAAGCTTTAATTTTGCATCCTAAAGCCATTGATCTTATCATTGCTTCTGGAAGGTAACTCCCCATGCTCCCTAACACCATGTTTCATAAATTAGTTGGCCAAATCAGCTCCTTCCTTCAATATTAGCCACTATGTTCAACTTTAGCAGGCTAGTAACATAAGGGCTAAAATGTGGCACTTCTCTATTTCATTCACAATATTTCTTGAATTTATCTGGCTTTGGCACTTCTTGTTGCTTTTCAGTTGAACTAATTCAGACCAGGGGGAAAAAAAAATTTCATTGAAGATGGAAGCAGTTTCCTATAGAAGGCAGCCACTCTCCTTGGGAATGATTCATTTAGAACTGTGGCAGCTTCCAGACTTCACACATTACTTCCCCAAATTTGCTGAATTTAGCATGAGCCAGCTTGGTACTAAAACGCTCAGAACTCAAAGACATGTGGGTGAACCCACACCTTCCTCTGTACTCTTATTCCAAATGCTCACAGAGAAACCTGATTACTTGTTGTGTTTCTACTTGTAAACACATCCTGGTGGCATTTATAAAACTGAGGTAGAGACATACTAATTTGGAACCATTAACATTTTTTCATGACTTTGGTTTCAATCATGCAGGTATTGCAATCATGAAATAATAAACCCATAATAAATTTGGGGTTAATTACTACTGTTTTTTCCTCTAACAGTATTACAAACAGATATTAAATAGCCATGATATATGTGATATTATATGGGGGTATCATATAATCAAGAAAACATTCTTCATGAAGTGAGCTTATGGTTCATTTTACTATCAATGTCATTTATTTATAAGTAAGATTACGCCAACTCACAACTCGAGCCTGAATGGGTTTGGTTACCAAATGTCTGTAATGGCATATTAAATTTCATTTTACAGAGATGATGGCAATGAGCCAATGCTCCTGAATTCTATCATGGCATCTGTAAAACACCATCGAGTTACACACACCTAAATGCCTCTGACCGCTGCCAGGAGCCAGAGGACAACAGTGTTCAGAAGTATGCTCTTCTATGACTACGTAGCCTGGCATTTTATCTGATAGAATGCCATCTGTTCATCCTTCTGCCATTCTCTAGGGTAATTGGGTTCAAACTACAGGACACTGAAAATAGTCACATTGTCCACTGTATTTTTAATTGTCTGGGTATTTATATCAGTGACTTTTCTTCTCACAGGCTACTCATTAAAATAATTTTATGACCATGTTTCAAGAGGCAAATATTCAAATCATACATTGCTTGGACCACAAAGCTCAGTTAAGAAAAGTTTCCCACATATTTTATTATACATATAAAATGGTATAATATTAAATCATTTATCACTAAAAGAATATATGATATAGTGAGAAGCTATATAGTTTTGTGATTAAGAGCTTGGGACCTGGAATCAGGTTGCCAAGGTCAGACACCCAGTTCCATCTACTACTCTGTGAATCTGGGCAAATTAGGAAGCTTGGATGAACTAATCCATGTAAAGAATCAAATATATTACTTGACATACAATAAGCCATCAATAAATATTAGCTATTTTATCAATAATTACCTTGCCTTGATATTAACATTAGCATAATAATGTTTGAGAACCAAACATTTATTACATGTTAGATGGAATGTGCTACATAGAGATACATTATAAGATGAATCAGTTTCTCAAATGAGCTTCATCTGATTTTAAATATAATTTGTATCCATATTTTAAGAATGATCTATTTTTATGCCTTTTAGCAGTGTCTTATACTGGGTTTTATTGCTGCATGTCATTTCCTGAAATCCTAGGAACCAAAATGCCATCAACAAGCACACACAAAACACTGTCACAGTCTCACAGAAAGCAGAGCTAATGTTCATAGAAGTTTCATTTTATGACTTGTTAAACCTAAATTCCAAAATATAATTCATCCTAAAAAGCATTTCTGTAGCTAGTAAAGTGGCAATTAATCCCTGGTCAGTGTGTAGTTTTCTTTAGTGTAGTTTTAGTCAACTCTGGAGGCCTTTCTGACCCTTATTTTTATGCAGACAATAAAGTTCAAGTTATAATTAATTTTTAAGGTGTGTTTAGAAGGAAAAGAAAATCAAAAAACTAATATGCAGATTCTAAAATTAGAGACTTAACCTCCCTTGCTTGGTGATGGTACATTTGACCCAGATCTTTAGAAACTCCAGTTTCAGCCCTTTCAGGTCCCACCCAGTTTCTAAGCCCTTTCAAGTCCCACCTACTGCCTAAGAACAATGGATGCCCTACTCAGCAAAACACTGGCCAGATTCACTGTTTTATTCACTGTGTTATTTGTGTTTTCTATATAATAATTTCCCTTCAGGATATGCTGCTTTTCAGTATTATGAAATGCCCTAGTACAGATAATCTACAATAAATAACTATAACACAAATAACAAAGAACAAAATTATTACACTAAAATGTCTTTATATATACAAGTTGGAAATACTCAAAAGAATCATTTTTCTTCAAGCATGATTCTCTGAAATTTCAATATGAGGAAACATATTCTACATTATTTCACAGAACTAATGATACAAACTAGCAATTGGACCCTACAATTTTGTCAAAGATGGCACTTGATGTGTTAGATAAAACAAATTAATATTACATAGTAGATAAAAACAGCCTCCCATTGTTACATTGTTTAAGATAAAAGTTTGCTGATTAAAGTAGATTTACTTTTGAAAAGACTGAATTGGCATAAGACAATCGCTATCTTTTTCACTTTACTCAAATTCAATTTTCGACCATATCTTTTAAAGTTGCAAATGTATCACTTATGTACCAAAAAGAAAAAAAATGAATTTTTTCTTTTTAAACTTCATAAAACTAATTATACATAGCATAGCTGTTCATTTTTAAACCACTATAGTTTAAAATATCATGATATAGAAACTTTATATAAAGGAAAAGATATGTCTTACCTCTTCCCACTGATGTATGTATCTAATTAACCTTGAAAGTCGTAATAAACGCAAGAGACTGAGAATTTTTGTAAACCTCACAATGCGAAGTGCCCTGGCTGTCTTGTAAACTTCAGAATCCATTCCTTTTTCTACAATGAGAAAGATATAATCCACTGGGATTGATGAGATGAAGTCAACCACAAACCAGCTTTTTAAATAATTCATCTTGATCACTTTAGGGTCCAGGATGATTTCAGAACTGTCTTCATTGACAGTCCCAGTCCTGAAATTCATGATCAAGTCCAAAAGGAAAACTGTATCTGAAGCCACATTGAAAATAATCCATGGTGTTGTTGTCTGTTCTGTAAAGAATGTGATTCCAACTGGTATGATGACCAGATTTCCAACCATCATTATAAGCATTATTAAATCCCAATAAAACCTACAATAAATAAAAAAAAAATCAGATTTTAAGATGTAGACAATAATCAGTCCTGCCCCCCCACCACCATAAAAATTGTTACAGAGTCAGACACAACTGAGCACAAGCACGAAGTGAAATAAATGAACAAACTGCTCGTTTTGTAAATAACATAGCTCTTTCAATGGCCATAAAGTTAAATCTAAGTAAAATAAATATATTCCTAAAGCAAGGCAGTGTGACTACAGAATTCTAAAAATTATTTGAGATAAAGTGCTATAGAAATAAGTTCATGAACACCCATATCCCCATTTATCTGATAAAGAAGTAAAAATAAACTCCCTTTATAGTTACAATATGGATGAAAACAAGGAGATCTATATTATAAAGAACTACTTTAAAGAAGACTCTTTGGAGGTGCTTTGAAGTATTTTATATATAAAATCCTCAATCATAGAGTAGAATAAACAATAATACATAAGGCACATTAAAACTATTGGTACTGCAAATTTATAACTACAGATTAGGTCAATCACAAATTCTAGAACTGCCACAGCTTCTTAGCACTCCAAATATTTATGCTGTATTCTTCTTAATTTGAAAAGAGAAAACATTATCAATTTTGTTCTGAGGCTAAAAATATTTGAACAGACACTAAGTTTGAAATCAGAAACTACCTAAAATTTGCACTTTTATCACTCCTTAATTGAACAACTACTTTAAATAGGTTGCCACTATTTTTCCAAACAATTATTTGTTTAAAACTTCTGATTTCATTTTCAACATAGCTGTGATTATTAGCTACCTTTTGAAACATTCTTATCCCACATTATATTAAAATTAGGAAGTTTATTCCAGGTTAATATTGTACTAATATAGAGTTAAAATTATTAATATATGACAAATTCATCAAAGATTATTTTAATATTGCTTTCATTTGATTTCTTTAAAGTCTATTGACACTGTAGTTAGACTAGGTAATAGACCACACTTTGGTTACAGCATAGACTTGTAAAAGTAAAGAAACAAATCAATTAATACAACTCTATGGTTGTAAGACAGTCTACAGAAACATGAGCTACTGCATTCTGGTTGAAGATGTAGTCTCTGAGCAGTTATTTTTTACAAAAATTGTATAAATTTTCATGACAGACGTTTCTGTTAACCAAGAAATTTTTATTTTACATTAGTTCTCCTACTTAGATTATTTGGGCTACATTTTTTTTAAGGCATACATTTGCATGAACCTTTCAAAGTTATTATCATTCCTAATTATGAGTGACTTGGTTAAAAGTAGTAGTACAAGAAAGAACTATAATAGTCCCACTCTGCCTTTGTTTCTACTCTCACCTCAGAACTATATAAAAGATTAATGCTTCTCATTTTGAAGATCTCACCAGTCTTTCTGTCAAAACTTACCTGTAGATTTATGAACAAGTATACAAATACCCATGTCAATTATACATCATGCACTGGTAATTACAACAAAATCCTTTCTCTTTTTTTTTTTTCCTCTCCTAATGGAATTGCAAAATATGCCATTTAATACACTAAAGACAGAGGAGAGATGTAGATAACATGTAATACTGTAATAGCTGTTTCACAAAAAAGTGACATCACTGAACTCTAAAATGAAATCATGTGTGCCCTGAGGATTTTCACTCTACTGGACACTTATCATCTCTTCTTGGGCCTCCACTCTGCTTTTCCTTGAAAGGCTGCTGTTCCCTTGGGTGTCACACATAGCCCTTTTATCTTCTATTCTACACATGCTCTTTGGGCAATATTATACACTCATCCATGTCTTTAATGATTAATTCATAACTGATGACTACAAAATTACTATCTACAGTCTATTCCTGTCTTCTAAGCCTCCTAATCCTTATAATCAAATCTAATTAAATCTGTCCCCTTGCATATCTCATAGTCATGTCAAACAGAACACCCAAGCTCAATCTCATCACCTTCCCTCCCACAAACATCCCTCAGATGTTCCCTATGCCAGAAAATGGTACAATATTATACCTCATTTGGAACCATCCTAGATAGTTGAAACCAGCCTAGGTAACCCCTGGCCAAAAATCTACTCAATTTCATTATTCAGTCAATTACCAAGGCTGTTTGGTTCTAACATGTAGATGTAAGTTGAATTCATCCATTTGACCTTTACCATTCCCACTGAAGCTGTCTTCAACCAGAAATTCTCACCAACTGTTTAATTCAGAAAGAAGTTACTTAAATTATCTAACCCTAAATTTTCTTATCTGTAAAATAAAGATTATTATAGAACCAAATGTTGTTTTTTTCTTATGTACTATATGCAAATCACAGATGCTAGCATATAACAAGCTGTGGCACGCAACGCTGGAGTTATACTTAGTATTCATTTACCTTCCTTGCTTACCAAAAGAAAGCCAATTTTGGGAGAGGAGTCAGGAGCCTTTTGAAAAATACTCACTTTTAAAAACATGCTTGTATTTCTGCTTTTTTTTTTAAGGGAAAATCATATTCTACCCTTCTTAGTCAACAGAAATGAAAAGGATAAAGTGTCATCCACTCTTTATTATAGCAATAATGTTTACCACACCATGGCTTTTTATTAGTGGTGCTTAGTAAGGATTGAAGCCATTAGATATCTCAATATCAATATGATGCTCAATTAAACCTTATAGTTTCCTTTTAAAGTATCACTGACCCTATTTTGCAGTCATAAACACCATTCTGTAGACTTTGCATAATATAACACTTCTTTGGTTAACATGGATTCATTCCTTAGATAGCAAGGAAAATACAGTTATCACTCACTCTAGAAGTTGCTTTAAAAAACCGCAATGAAGATGTTCCTGAAAACTGACCTCATGAGAGGCCACGAGTTTCTTTTCTCAACTCTTTGCTCAGAAAGTTTCTTTTCCCCTTAACTCAATTTCTATGTCTTGTACATTTTATTACAGAATTGTCTTTCCTACCCACTCCCTTTTTGCATACCAACTGTTGTGTCTAGACTTGAGGCAAAGCTAGTTCTTGCTTGGAATATCTCAAAAAGTCTCCTGTCTATGTTATCTGATCAATTCTACCCACAAGTTCCAGAGCAAACATCTAACATGTAACATACAGGTGAAAAACCAACATGGACCCTCTCATTTAAGTAAAAACATTAAGGCACTCCCTAATATAGCTTTCTCCTCCCTTCTTATCTCTTCTTTAACATTTTATGGTAAGTACCTCATAGCTCAAGCAAGATAGTACTTACTTTTAATTACATCATACCTACGTACATATGTAGGAGACATGGTTACTTCCATTCTACTAGTTCCTTTTCCTATCAGCATTCTACTGTCCTTCAAGTCCCGTTCTGGCAATTAATCTTAGTTGTGCTGTTTTGTTTTTTTTCTTTACAACCCCCAGAACATTTATTTTCAGTATATTTCTTATTTCACTTTTGCTCTTGTTACTAATTATTTGAAGTTCAAAACTATCGTATCCTTACATGTATATGTATGGCTGAGTTCCTTTTCCGTTCATATGAAACTAACATAACACTGTTAATTGTCTAGTCCCTGATATGAAATAAAAAGTTAAAAAAAAAAAACTATTTTGCCTTCTGTTTAACTTCTGCAGTAATGCAAACAGTATCCAGGACAGCAAATGCTAAGAAAATATATTAATTAAATTTTAAGTAGAAACATATACTTCATGAAGATATTTAAAGAAATCCTTTTTTAATAAGTCAAAGGTCACTAATGTAGTAAATACTTTCTTAATATACCATTTGGGCTTCCCAGGTGACCCTAGTGATAAAGAACCCTCTTGCCAATGCAGGAGACATAAAAGACACAGGCTCGATCCCTGGGTCAGGAAGACCCCCTGGAGAAGGGAATAGCAACACACTCCAGTGTTCTTGCCTGGATAATTCCATGGACAGAGGAGCCTGGCAGGCTACAGTCCATGGGGTCACAAAGAGTCGGACATGACTGGGCAACTAACATTTTAACTATATCTTTTACATTATATAACTCTAGATTTTATTGATTGAAGACTTTTATAATACAGGACACATTAAAATAAGCAGAAAAATAAGAGATTAAAAATATATTCTTAGATCAGACAGCCTGTAAGCAGTTTTGGATTTGACATTTGGTTTTGAATGTTATAAAACCCCTCTCTTATTCATCCTGCTCTTAGAGATAGTAGTTACAGTAGTTGTCAAAGATAATGATTAGACTTTGAAGGGTCTAGGGTTCAAATCCTAGTAGCATTAGCTGTTGGAGAAGGCAATGGCAACCCACTCCAGTAGTCTTGCCTGGAAAATCCCATGGACGGAGGAGCCTGGTAGGCTAAAGCCCATGGGGTCGCGAAGAGACGGACACAACTGAGCGACTTCACTTTCACTTTTCACTTTCATGCATTGGAGAAGGAAATGACAACCCACTCCAGTATTCTTTCCTGGAGAATCCCAGGACAGAGGAGCCTGGTGGGCTGCTGTCTATGGGGTCGCACAGAGTCGGACATGACTGACGCGACTTAGCAGCAGCAGCACCAACATTAGCTGTATGGTTTCGGGCAGGGTATTTAACTGTTGTGACCTTCAATTTTCTCCTATTCTCAGAGTTTCTCTGCCAGGAGGACTGAATAAAATCATGTATGCTAAGTCTATAGAAGTTGTGATATAGAAAGCTAACTTTCTCTATAAATCCAACACTCACCAGAAAACCAAATGTTGATAATTACAATAGAATAATAACCTAGGTAATCATTTTTACCTTATACTAAAAGTAGATAAAATTCACAAACTAAAATGGTATTTCAATGATAATTAATATATCACTGAAAACTATGATCGCTTTAATTACTAATAAATGATATTAATAGACAAATTATTTTTATGTTAGTCAATTTCCCTCTGTAAGCATTTAGGAAAAAAACTTCCCGTTAAACCCTTCAAATGGTACCAGATGTACACATGGCTATATGGTTTTTCCAGTAGTCTTGTACGGATGTGAGAGTTGGACCATAATTCTTTG